CTGCCTCAGCCTCCCAAGTAGCTGGGACTACAGGCGCCTGCCACAACGCCTGGCCATTTTTTGGTTGCAGCCATCATTGTTGTTTGGCGGGCGTGGGCTGGGGATTCGAACCCGCCACCTTAGGTTTATGTGGCTGGCACCTTAGCCGCTTGAGCCACAGGCGCCGAGCCCAGCACATTGTTTTAATTAACAATTTAGTTTCTTAAAAACTATAAAATAGACTGGGTACAGTGACTCACACCTGTAATCCTAGCACTCTGGGAGGCTAAGGTGGGTAGATAGCTTGGGCTCATGAGCTTGAGACCAGCCTGAGCAAAAGCGAGACCCCATCTCTAGTAAAAATAGAAAAACTAAGGCAAGAGGATTGCTTGAGCTCAAGAGTTGGAGGTTGCTGTGAGCTATGACGTCAGAGCACTCTACCCATGGTGACAGCTTGAGTCTCCTGTCTCAAAACAAAAACAAACAAAAAATACAGGCTCAGCACCTGTAGCTAAGTGGCTAGGGAGTCAGCTACATACACCAGAGCTGTCAGGTTCGAATCTAGCCCAGGTCTGCCAAACAACGACAACCAAAAAATAGTCAGGCATTGTGATGGGCACCTGTAGTCCCAGCTACTTGGGAGGCTGAGGCAAGAGAATCACTTACGTTCAAAAGGAGTTTGAGGTCAGCACTCTACCAAGGGTGACATAGTGAGACTCTGTCTCAAAAAAACAAAACAAAACAAAAAAGAACAAAAAACACAACAACAACAGCAGGGTGGCGCCTGTGGCTTAGTGGGTAGGGCAACAGCCCCATACACCAAGGGTGGTAGGTTCAAACCCAGCCCCAGCCAAACTGCAACAAAAAAAAAAAGCTGGGCGTTGTGGCAGGCACCTGTAGTCCCAGCTACTTGGGCGGCTGAGGCAAAAGAATCACCTAAGTCCAGGAGCTGGAGGTTGCTGTGAGCTGTGTGACGCCACGGCACTCTGCTGAGGATGAGAAAATGAGACTGTCTCTACAAAAAAAGAAGAAAAAAGAAACCAACAAAAAATACATGTAAAATATTTCCTACCTTTTTTTTTTCTTTTTTTTGAGGTAAGAATTCTTGCTCTGGAGTGCAGGGGGCCCATCATAGCTTTTAAGTCAAGTGATCCTACCCCCTCAGTCTCCTCAGTAGCTAGGACTTCAGGTATATGTTATCATATGTGGCTAATTTGTAAAATTTTTTAAAGAGATGGAGTCTTGCTACTTATCTTGCCTAGGATGGTCTTAAACTCCTGGCCTCAAGTGATCCTCCCACTTTGGCCTTTCAAAATGTGTGAACTGGCTCGGCGGTTTGAATCCAGCCCGGGCCCACCAAAACAACAATGACGGCCGCAACCAAAAATAGCCGGGCGTTGTGGCTACAGAACTCTACCCAGGGCTTGAGGCTCTGTCTCGGAAAAAAAAAAAAATGTGTGAATCACCTAGCCTGGCCCCTAGTACCTTTTTTGTCAATCTCCAGGTGTGGCAGCAACCTCTACGATTATCCTCAATAATCCCTGCCTCCTGATATTTGTGCCCTTGTGTAATTCATTCCTCTTGAATAAGGGCTGCATTTAATGATTCTTTTCTACTGAACAGAAATGTTGCACAAGGGACAGAATGTCAATTCTCAGATTAGGTTACAGAAAGCCTCTTGGATGCATGTTCTTGAATTAGCTTGCTCTGAGGGAAGTCACCTGCTATGCTGTGAGCTATCCTATGGATGGGGCAATGCGACAAGGAACTGAGGAGTACCACCAGCCTATAGCCAGTTATGAACTGAGATGTGTCTTAACAGCCTTCAAGGAAATGAATCCTGCCAACAATCATAAGTGAATTTGAGCTGATCTTGACTCATGCAAACTTTCAATCTGACAGCCTGAACAGAACCTCCTCAAGAGATGCTGAGCTAAAGGCACTCCCCAAGCCACAGAAATTTAGTTAGTAAATGTTTATTGTTTTCAATTGCTAAGTTCTGGGTAATCTGTTATACAACAGATAATGCAGATTTTTTTTGTGGTTTTTAGCCAGGGGTGGGTTTGAACCCACCACCTCTGGCATTTGGGGCCGGCGCCCTACTCCTTTGAGCCACAAGTGATGCCCTGATAATGCAGATTTTTGCACAATACCTGGAAGTAAGGTGCTGCTGTAAGAAAAATCCAAAATGTGACAATGGCTTTGAAGAGTTTTAGTGAAAATGTAGTGTCCTGAATAAGATGAATACATAGACTTTTGGACTGAAAAAGAAGGTTGCCTATGAGAGCTTAAAGGAAAGTGAGAAAAATCTCATTGCTGAATGAAAGGAGATCCTTGGGATGTGGTGGCACAAAGTTTAGCAATAGTATCATATGTAAGGGCAGGCATAGTGGCTTATGCCTATAATTCTAACCTTTTGGGAGGCGGAGAGGGGAGGATCACTTGAGTTTACGAGCTCTAAGACCAGCCTGACCAAGAGTGAGACCCCATCTCTAAATACAAAACAAAGCAGGCATGGTGGTGGGAGTCTGCAATCCCAGCTACTCAGGAAGCTGAGATTGGAGTCAGAGGTTGCAGTGAGCTATGATGACACCACTGCACTGGATGATAAGAGTGAGACGTCATCTCACTAAAAAGTCATAGGGTTATGTGAAAATAAGAGTATGTATCTAATGTACATACTATAATAATGTAATGATCTGGCTACGGGGATTTCTTTTTTAAATTTTTTTTTGGAGACAGAGTCTCACTATGTCACCCTCAGTCAACTGCTGTGGTGTCACAGGTCACAGCAACCTCAAACTCTCAATTCTCTTGCCTCAGCCTCCCAAACAGCTGGGATTACAGGCACCCACCACAATGCCTGGCTATTTTTTTCTTGTAGTTGTCAGTGTTTAGCTGGTCTGGGCTGGGTTCAAATCCAGGGCACTGCCAAGAAAATGTGGTTTGTGGTCTAAAGATGAAGCCAAAGGTATAGCTCAAAAAAAAAAAAAGTAATGCTTTCGAGTACAATCATCCCTTAGTTCCCACAGCGGACGAGTTCTAGAACCTTCCCTGAGTATGAAACATCCTCAGGAACTCAACTCCCTTATTTAAAATAGCATAGCTATTAACCAGTTCAGTGAAAACATTTCAAATTGTATATAAAACCAGCATATTGGGGTGGTGCCTGTGGCTCAAGGGAGTAGGGCGTCAGCCCCATATGCTAGAGGTGGTGAAGAGCAAACACAATGATCACTTGAAAAAGAGAATTATGGAGATTTCCAAGGACTTGAAGAGGTAAGATTATATGGATAAAGGGGCCAAGAAACCCACCTTGTAGTTAGCATTTGCAAATTTTCTTCAACTACAGGTGAGAAACTGGGGTCAGGAATAGGCGACCCGTCACTGATTTCCTCCAAAGGTGGAGTCTGAGGTAAAACATCAGGACGACCAATGTGAATGCCTAGAAAAAAGGGAAATGAGAAAACGAAGTGGGGAAAAATATACAGCAACGTGTCTTTTCCTGAATGGAAATGGGGAGTACAGGTCCTAGCCAGTAAATGTGAAGTCTCAGAAGGGAGGAAGTACCCAATCACACAGGAACCCTAGCCCTAGCACTGACCTGGCTCGACTTCTGCCTTTGTTGTCACTTGTGCCTTGTGTTCTCCAGAGACCGATGGCTGGTAACTAACGGAGAAGTTGCTGCTTGGTCCTGCTCGCCGAGAGAAAGATGAGCCAGACCGAAACTTTTTGGAAGGAGAGGGTTTCACTTCAAAATGGAAAGAAAGCCTACTTAGCACCCACCTCAGAAACCATCACCAAGATACAGATACAAACCACTAGCGTGGCTCGGCGCCTATAGCTCAACCGGCTAAGGCGCCAGCCACGTACACCTAAGGTGGTGGGTTTGAATCCCCAGCCCGGACC